TGCTGGGAAATGGTCAAATAAAGATAGAGTTCTTCGCTAGGTTTCGGTGTGACCAACAGGGGCGCTGAAGACAAATACTCCTTGAGCTCGGCCAAAGCCCGGTCACATTCTTCATCCCATGAGAACTTTGATTTCAGAGCTTGAAAGAAAGGGCGGCAGCGATCTGATGACCGGCTTATAAATCGATTAAGCGCGGCGGCCATTCTGGCCAGATGCTGCACGTCCTTAGCCGAGCTAGGCTGCTTTAATTCTTGTACGGATCTGATTTGTGTGGGGTCTGCCTCGATGCCTCGGTTCGTGACTAGGAAGCCTAAGAATTTTCCGGATCTCACGCCAAAGGCACACTTGGACGCATTCAGGCGTAGCTTGTGTTGTTTGAGAATGGCAAACATCTCGGCCAAGTCGGACAAGTGGTCTGCTAAGCCTCCATTGTTCGGCCTAGCAGAGGAGCGAACATCTTGGTCACCATCCTTTGAAAAGTTGTGCCGGCGTTTTTCAAACCAAAAGGCACGACTCGGTAGCAGAAGAGTCCCCTTGGTGTAGTGAATGAGGTGATCTTGCGGTCGGGGCCATGCATGGCAATCTGATGATAACCGCGGTAGGCATCTAAGAAACTGAGCCAGTTATGTCCAGCCGTCATGTCCACAAGATGATCTATTCTGAGCAGTGGAAAGCTATCTTTAGGGCAAGGTCGGTTGACGGTTTTATAGTCGACACAAACTCGCCACTTCCCATTCTTCTTTGGTACAACCACGGTGTTTGAAATCCACCGAGGGTAGTGCACTTCCTGAATAACTCGTGCCTCAAGCAAGTGCTTCACTTCCTCTGCAACTACCTCGGCGTGATGCAGCGCCGATCTCCTTGTTCGCTGAATGACCAGCTTGGCTCCGGGGAAGACATTTAGGTGATGGCAAATAAAACTCGGATCGAGGCCAGGCATGTCATAAGGCGACCATGCGAAGACTTCGATATTGGCCATCAAAAACTCAACCATCTCGGTCCTTTCTTGTGCGGTAAGGCTGGAGCCGAGCAAGAAGAACCTGTCCAGACTCTCTGTATCAATTCGCACTTCGACCAATTCCTCGACGGCTTTGTCCTCGGCCCTTGTGCCCACATCGACAAGGACTCCTTGGTTTTTCAGTCCGTCTATCATTTGGACGAAGCCCTTGGTAGCTCCGCTCCTATTGACTGCCACGAAGCATTGCTTCGACATGACTTGATCACCCCAAATCTCCTCAATTGCCTCCATAGCCGAGGGGAATCTCATCACCTGATGGAAGGTCGACGCTACGGCTTGCATAGCGTGAAGCCATCCCCTTCCAAGGATCAGGTTATAAGTAGATGGCACCTGCAACACCCAAAACTCCACTTGCTTGACCACGGACCCCGCTTTGACCGGCAGGATAATTTTTCCCAAAGGCCACTCAGGTTGTGAGTTGAAACCAACCAGTGGCGAAGTTGCTGGAGCCAAGTCTGTATCCCGGAGCTTGAGCTGTTTGAATGCGTCGTAATACATGATCTCGACCGAGCTTTCCTGATCGATCAAGATGCGTTTGACATCGAATTCTTTGACGTGGAGTGTGACCACTAAGGCATCGTTGTGCGGCGTTTAAATGCGCTCTAGGTCCCTTGTAGAGAAACTGATTACGTCTTTTTCTTCGGTCTTGCCCCTTTTGATCGCAGGCTGGACCGACAAAACTTCCTTCATGTGCTCCGCTTTCTTGATCATACCTCGGAGTTCACACACACGCGCCGGTTCCACAATGTTGTGGATAATATTAACAATGCCCTGAGGGGGTGCCTCCAAGTCATCCGGTCCGCGCGGATCAACCGAGGCTTGATTTGCCTTCACGCCCTCGTTAATGTAAAGGTCCAGGTGTCCGGCTGCGACTAGCTCTTCCAAGTGTTGCCTCAAAGGCAAACAGTCCTCTGTCCGGTGGCCGCACTCCCAGTGAAACGTGCAATGGTACCATGGATTGAAACCCTTCTGTTCGTCGCCCAATTTAGCAGGAAACCGGACATAATCCTCATCACGGATTTCGCTAAGTATGCGATAAATTGGAATCTTAAAGACCGTAGTGATGCCTGTCCTGGCTTTCAACCTTCTGTTCGCATCAGCTACGTCGTCGCAGGGGTATTCATCTCAGTTATTCCGTTGACCCCTACCCCGGTTTCGACGATTTGAACCTCGATCAGATTCCTCGGCGCGATCGTTTGAACAGTTGGTATCTTGTCCGACCGCGTGCACCTTGCCAGCCGACCTTTTGTCTGTTGCTACCGAAGTTGCCTTTGCGGTAGATGCTGCCGCATCATCTTCTACTCGGATGTGCTCGTTGATGCGCTGCATTAATTGGCCCATGGATGTCGGCTGGTGCATAGTAAACGAGTCCCGCAATCTATGTCCGATCGGGAGACCACGCTTATACTGTGTGATTGCAAGGTTGACCGGGCAATCCAAGATCTCGTTGAAGGTTTCCCAGTACCTGGAGTTGTATGCCTTGAGCGTGTCGCTCGGCTCCATCTTGACACTGAGAAGGTGGTCCACTTCCTTCAGCGTCTTAGTGTTGGTTTTGAAGCGCGTCACAAAGGCTTCCGCCAACTGCTGCCACCCCTCGATGCTTCCCTCCGGCAACCTTTCGAACCATTTCAAGCCCAGCTCGCCCAAACTTGACGGGAAGATAAGGCACATAAGAGCGTCATTCCGCCTATGTCCAGCCATGACCTGTCGGAAGTGGCTCACATGTATATATGGATCAGTTTTTCCGTTGTAGAGTGTGAACTTTGGCTGGTGGAAGCCCGGCGGAAGCGGTGTTGTTTCTATCTCCAGGGAGAAAGGAGTGGCGCTCTGCCTCGCCAAGTTTGTGTCTAAAAGGAGAGGTGCAGCGAGGCGGGGTGGAGGCATTTCGACCTTTTCATTGGCGTGAACCCCATAGGATAGCCGCTGGAACGCCGGCACCCTCTGAGCCTCCCGCCGGCGAGCCCGTTCCTTCAAAACTGCCTGCAAATCCTTTAAACGAGCGGAATAAGAATACCTCGACGTCATCGCCGGACGTGAGGGTTGATAGGTGCTGTCTTGCGCGCTGGACTTCTCTACGTGCGCGTCAGAATCTCCAACCTTGTAACTTCTGGTGATTGAGATGGACGGAGTACGCCGCTAGCTCTAACTGCCTGAACGGCGGGGTTGGGGTTGCACACTGTGGTCTCCCACTCAAGTTGCACCCTTCCCTTTGACATGCTGCTTAAGATCTTCCATCTCCGCCGCCATTCGCCGGATGACGGCGTCTTGGTCCCTTAGCTTGTTTTCCAGTTGTCTGGCATGCGATTCTCTCCGCCGTCGGTGACCGTCTGGACTCCGTGAATGACCAAAGCTTCTTCCGTGCTTATCCCGTGCGTCTCTTCAATGTCCTCCTAGAGAAGTCTCTAGGTCCGCCATCGGAGGAATGATGGTGGGATGTCCTTCTCTCCGTCTGCCTAACTCCGGGGTAACTTCGTCGATGGCAGACAACAGAATTTCGTCGTTGTTCGCCATGGACGGCGATCAGATGAGCCTGGAAGACAAGGTTTTGTCTGTTAAGTGTTCCTGCAGATGGCGCCAATTGTACGGGGAGCAAATATTCCGACAAACCCGTATTCCTTTCTTCCAAGCTCCTGCCTGTCCGATCGATCTGCGAGCACAACGGCGGTGAGCTACCCGGCGGTGCATGGCCGGAATACCCCTCCGACAATCAAGTTAGACACACACACAGGGATAGAGAGAGAGAGAGAGGATTGAGTGTATAATGTAAGTCTCACCAAATGTTCATCTGCCTCAGCATGGGGGGCGCAGACTCGCTTATATACCTTCTGCACCCCAAATCTACTCCCATTAGTCTCTTGACACGTGGTGCTACTATCCCATCTGTCAACGCAAATCTAGCTGAACATCACCTAACCAAGCTGCCAGCCCATACCATTGGGAGCTCGGCAGCCGGGCTGCAGCACCTCGACTGCCAAAGGCTGTGCTGTGTTGCTAGCCAGAGAGCTTCGCTCGCCAAGCTCAATGACGACCGAGCTCGGTTGCATTCCGGCATAGCCGAGCTCGGGACAGCGCATGCCGGTCAGCCGTCGGCCTTCCTGCCGAGCTATCCCACGAACCGTGGAACCCAGTGAGGCAGCGGACATCTCGGTGGAACCATCACTCGACCAGTCTCTGCATCCTGAAGCCAAGTAGCTCGGTTCAACCATGCCTTGCCTTAACCAAGCAAAACCTTTCTGGGCAGGCCCATGCTACCACGGCCCTACTGTGTTCGGCTTAAATCTGCCCGGCCATTACCACGGCCCAATCCAGATCATAAATCTCCCTCTCAATCCCCAAACTAGATCATGAGAGATTGTAAGTAGTAGTAGTAGTCGGGAAGAGAAATCACTATTGGGGAGGTGCGGAAGAGAGAGATTGCTAAATTTGGGAGAAAAGAATGATGGTGGTTGCACGTGGAGAGATATCATGAGAGTGGGGTTTGTGGAGGTGTAAGGTTATAGAAGTAGTAGTTGCGTAGAGAGTGAGAAAGAGTTTGTGGTATCGAAGTGGGGTTATGTTAGGCTAGGCTATGCGATGACAGGGATGGAGATGGGTGGAGGGAGCGAGGGAGGGTGGGTAGGGCTACAAAGATAGGGGCAAAGTAGGGAATATGATAGGGGTCCAAAGAAAAATAGGTAGGGAGCAAGTTTGGAAGGTAATGGGCCAAAGAAGTTGCAAGTCCAAAGAAAAAAGTAGTGAGCATTTAGCAACAGTCTATTTAAAACCATGGTTGAATACAAAGTTTACAAGAAAAGCGATGCATCCTTGAAGTTAAGGATCGATCTTGCCACTTCCCCCTTCCTTTTGATAAATATATACAATTTAATTTTGTTTATTCACTTTAAAGTTAGGTCCACTCCTTTAGAAGAACCATTCAAGGAGAAGAATCATCTTTATGCACCTTTAGATAGTACTATTTTGTTAACAAATCATGCATAGTAACTTATAAAGAAGGGGTAAAATGATATGCATATCTGCTTTCCATTGACTAGATGGATGAAATTGAAACCTCAAGTTCTTCACAATTTGTAGATATAAACCAAAAAATGGTAAACAAGTGTGAAAAGTATGGCCACTATGGCTTGTTGGCCAAGTGATATGGTCTTCCCCTCGTTTGTTTTGAAGCTTTTGATGTTTTTAGAGGGAGAATAGAGGAAAGCCATTGAGATACACTCTTCATTTTCTCCTTTAAATATTGGCCTCCCTATCACCTGCTTGTACAGTCCACCACTCCATGCCTGTGATAGAAAAAAAAGAAGAAGAGAAATGTATAACTGTAAAGATGGAGAGCCATTGATGATGTTAATTAACTAAATAGAGATTAGTACAAAATTGTTATGATTTTGTCCATCAACTTGATTAGAATATCACCTGCGGAATGATTAGAGCCTCTACACGGAGGTTAACTTTAGGAAAACAAATAAAATATAGAAAAAAATAAAGTGACAGATCATTAGTGTACTGAAATTCTATTAAAGTAGATGTGGGTCATGTTTGTGGGATTTACCAATTACATGTTGTAGCAGTTAAAATAGATGGACAGCCAGATATTATTAAAGGGTATTGCTATCATTGGCCTTCCTTTTTTTCTTTTTTTTTTTTATAAAAATATTTAATTTTTTTCTTTTATATTATACAAAGTGATAATAAAAAAATTTATTTTATTCCCGCGTGGTTTAATACCAAAACCCTTTAACCTCAAATAGAGCTAAAAAGCCTTCATATGATTTTGAATTAAAGTGTCACCGTTAATTTTTTTCATCTAAACTAACAAAATATGTATCACACACACTATTTTGAAAGTGAGTATGGTTTTCTAAAGCATTTCCTCAGTTGAAAAAAAAAAAAAAAAGTCTGGTTTTTTTAATCAATAAAGTGAAATCAACACAATAAAAAGATAATTTTACCCATCTTCTCCAAACTTAAAATTAAATTAAGATGTTAATTAGAAAATAAATAATAATTAAGGGTTGATCAAAAATATAATTAAATTAAAATTAGAATAAGATGTTAGGAATTACAATAAATAATTAAAAATTTAGAATTAATTGTGATTGAATTAAATTAATGTTAAAAATTATATATTATGTGCATGAGAGGAGAGAAAAAAAATGCATAAGGCTTGATGGTATTATAGTTATTTCACAACTATAGTTAATAGACTTAATAGTTGTATTTTACTCTAAAATTATATGGAGATTTTTATAGTTGTATTTGAACTATAAGGAAATAAATTGCTCTTGCCTTAAATCACAAGAGGTAAAATATATATATATTTTTTTCAATTATAATAAGGCCACAAAATTACAGTCAAGCCAATATTATTCTTTAATGTCCAGAGCATTTTGTAGAATAAAAACCAAAGGAAGAAAGTGTGAATAGCACTACCCTTATATATTAAATTTCTTTGATGATGCATATAATCTAGTATCATCTTTTATAAAGTAGTGGGGAATGGTGATCACTAATCACTAATCACTAATCACTGATCAGGGCTTTTCATTGTCTTCTAAGTTACAACACTGTGGTTCCCACAATATCAAGTGTTAATCATTTTGGTTTCAAAAATTATATTCCTCAGTGGATGAATTTCACTGTATTTTTTCACCAATTAGTTAGATTTACATAACAAATATTATATGGTGATCTAAGATCAATTATTAATAAATATTAGTATGTTATATGTTGGTGTAAATGGTATGAATAATTTCAAATCTTATTGATAAGAAAAGCTACAAGATGCTGTGGTATTTGTTATGAAACATTATTGTTGTATTAAGTACATTGTAATAAGATGCATTTTTTAGGAGGCATGTATGGTGTCAGACACAGGAGGGTTAGATGGTACCATGGAATCCTTATTAGTCACAGAAAATAAGGTAAATTATACAAACCTCCTTTGAAGTTTTAAAAAAAATATAGCAAGTCTCATAGTTTTGATAAAATTATAAATAACTCTCTTGAGCTTTTAATTCTTATAACACTTAATCCATTTTTCATCAATAATTTGTTAGTTAAATGAATCAAAAAAATGATATTGTCGTCTCTTTTTACATGAAAATATATACTTTACACTGTTTATTTTTGCATTTTTTCGCCATCTAGATCAGTTTCGGTGCATTTAATATTACTAAAAGGGAGGTTAGCATAATTATGTAAAAATTGTGAAATTTATTGTATTTTTTTTTTCTAAATTCCATGGAGAGTTTGTGTAATTTACCGAAGAAAATAATATTTTGATTTTTATATATATTCAATCCTTTTGAATTGCAAAAAAGCATCATTTGTTCCATGCAATTTTAAGTATTTTATAAAAATAAAACAAAAAAACTAGCTTTTTAACTCCAAAATTTATATAACATTATTTTAGCCTTTCAAAATCTAATAATTTTTCATTGATTCCCTTTTACACAATTATCAATTTTTTGTGCTTTTTTTTTTCTTTTCCACTGGAGATCAAGATTGTATCGTTTAGTCCTGCTAGTGGACCCATTTTAGGCCATTTTGATGATTTGAACTGTTCACATTTTAGGATTCCATGAGTATATCATTTATGCAAAAAATCGAGTCGATCGGATAACGACAATTATATTTCGGATAAGTTTTGTATGAACTGTTTATTTTCTTACTGTCCATTTTTTTCCATATACAACTGATCCGAACACGTGACTGCCGTTATCCAATCGACTTGATTTTTTGTATGAATGATGCGTTCGGCGGATCTTAAAATGCACAGTTTAGATAATCGAAATAAAACCCAAAAGTGAACCTACTAGTTAGACTGAACGGTCCAACCTTGATCTATTTGACACACACTCATGTAGGTATAGATTTAATATTAGGTGGATCCCATATCTATTTGAGTGTGTACAAAAGTTTAGAAAATGCGATATACCTAACATTGTTGATATATTTGTGCAACTAAAGTTACCTGTATTTGATCTCCAATTGTGATGACTATAGCATCTGTGTCAGGGCAGAATGATACCCAACCTTTCTTGGAGTAAACATGAAACTCAGAAGACCCTTCACAGACATGCATACATAGTGCATGAGAGTAATCTGATCCTCTGATCAGCATCTTAATCACATCACATTTCAAGGAGCCGACCCACTGGTCACCAGAAACATTGCGGCTATGTTTGTAGAAACAACAAACTGAGCCATCAAAATCTTGTCCTCGTATGATCCCATTTCCACATTGTGATTTTCTTGCATTATGCTCCTCCATAGCTAATACTACTCTTCCACCTACCTTCTCTATCTCCACCAAAAGCATTTCCATGTTCTCACTGCAATATAGAGTAAATAAGTATATATGGCATTAATTTTTCAAAATAAATGTTACAATAATTTAATTTCTTACTATATTTCACAATGTGGATTATATTATTGTGTAAAAAAAATAAAAATAAAAATAAAAATATGTATAATTTTCTCTTTTTTAAAAATGTTTTGTAAACAAACTTTGTTAATTAATTTTTAAACACTAGTCAGTAAAACTTAAATATAAGTTTGGCATACCTCAAATAATCCATCTTTTTATCTTTTTTCCATCACATAACCTCTTTACTTTTTTGCACATCTTTTCGTAAAAAGACAAAAAATACACTTATTTAGGTCATCCCAAA